CCCTCGTTGCCCCCATGGGATCAACACCAACCTACATATTATTTGGCTAGCCAACCGCCAATTGCCATGCCACCGCACTGCAACATGCCCCCGACATCCACCCGGGTGGGTGGGAGAACGAACAAGCATGTCATGTTGCTAGGCAAACAATTGTTGGTGTGCTAGGCAAGGCCGCTCCTAGCATTCCCACGCCTACTGGTTGGTGCTCGGCTCTCGTTGGCTTCGAGGGACACATTGCAAGCATGGCTAGCACGAGATCCAACAATGCCACTGCGCAGCTACGCGCCCCGCGACATCCACCCGTGAGGGTGGGAAAACGCCAGGGCACATCACATTGCTAGGCACCAAAGGGTCCAATGCTAGGCACACCTGCCAATTCGCGCCCACATGCGCCGCTCGTTGCCTCAAAGGGCCAAGCACCAACCGCCTTGGAGGCCCTTGCAAGGGGCAACAAGGGGGAGCCGAGGTCAAGCTTGCCTTTTTGTATAGCCTACCACCGCATTGCAACATGCCCCCGACATCCACCCGGGTGGGTGGGAGAACGAACAAGCATGTCGCGTTGCTAGGCATTACCAATCGGCGTTCTAGGAAAGCCCGGCCTCAGAATCCCACTTGCTCCCAACTTCGGTCGGTGTTGAGCCCATGGGTGCCGCATATAGGCACATGACAAGGTCAGCATGCCACATGCCCCAACAACGCCACCGCTCAGCAACATGCCCCGACATCCACCCGATTGGGTGGGAGAACGGACAGGCACCTCGCATTGCTAGGCATCATCGGAGTTTTAGGCACACCCACCCCCCAAGCACCCACTCGTTGCTCCCATGGGACCAACACCGACCTACGTTTGCTTGCGGTGACAACACGCTAGAGCTCGATTATGTCGGCTTGCCCACCACCGATCACCATGCCACCGCGCCACGACATGCCCCCGACATCCACCTAGGGGGGGTGGGAGAACAAATGGGCATGTCATATCGCTAGGCAAGGGTCCCTGGTGTGCTAGGCAAGCCCCGCGGCAGCCCCCTTGTCGCCCCCCGCAGGCACCTTCAAGGACCTCACCCCCCCTATAATAGCATTAGGAAGCAAAATCCTAGTGACAGGAACAGACATCCTTTTGCTCGAGGAGTCATAATATGAATTTAGCTATTAAATAATAATTATTTTTATAAATAATCAATTAAAATAAGTGAATATAATTAATACTCAAGTGAAGGGAAATAATTTTAATTTTTTTTAAAATTTTTTTTTTTTAATTTTTTTTTTTTAATAATTAATAAATTAAAAAACCGGCGTCGGCGTCGGCGTCGGCGCCGGCACCGGCACCGGCGTGCCACGACTTGGGAAAAGGAAATGCACGTTGGTGTGCTCGTGCAAGTGCATGGGTGTGTCGGGGGAGGCATGCGGCAACCTCCGAGGGCCAAGCCCCTCAGAGACCTCACCCCCCCCTATAATAGCATTAGGAAGCAAATTCATAGTGACAGGAACAGACATCCTTTTGCTCGAGGAGTCATAATGGGGGTTTTGTGAAGCAAAACTCATTTTCTTTTGAAATAACCGATCAAAATGCAAACAAATAATTATTAACATTGTGAAAAATAGTTATTATATTTTTTTGTGCAATAAAATAATTATTTATTATTTTTTTAGCAAAAAAATAGGGAAAAATAGTTAAAAATAGTTAAAAATAGAGAAAAATCACGAAAAAATACGAGTAATTATTATTTGTTGAAATTAATTGATTAAAAACAAAAAATAGGAAAAATAGTGGAAAATTGAAACATGATGTTGCTATCCAAGCAAGGTTATGTGGTGTTTTGGGAGAGGAGAGGCATGCGACAAGGGAACAAGGCACGTCGTGTTGCTGTCCAAGCAAGGCCATGCGGTGTTATGGAAGAGGAGAGGCATGCGACAAGGGAACATGGCACGTGACGTTATTATCCAAGCAAGGCCATGCGGTGTATCGGGCAAAGCATCATGGCACGTCATGTTGCTAGTCAAGGGCATGCGGTGGGCAAGGCAACAAGGCAAGTCGGGCAAGCGACAAGGCAACATGGCAAGTCGGGCAAGCGACAAGGCAACATGGCAAGTCGGGCAAGCGACATGGCAACATGGCAAGGCAACAAGGCACGCGGCAAGGCAACAAGGCAAGCGACAAGGCAACATGGCAAGTCGGGCAAGGTCTGCGAAAGCCTCTACCCCCCTATAATAGCATTAGGAAGGAAAACCCAAGTGCCATGAACAGACATGCCATGCTCGAGGAGTCATAATGGCACACGGCAGGGCATCTTGGCACACGCGGCAAGGCACACGACAGGGCATATTGGCAAGCGGCAAGGCACACGACAGGGCATATTGGCAAGCGGCAAGGCACTCGACCGGGCATCTTGGCACGCGGCAAGGCACTCGACCGGGCATCGTGGCACGCGGCAAGGCACTCGACCGGGCAACTTGGCACGCGGCAAGGCACTCGACCGGGCATCGTGGCACGCGGCAAGGC